CTATATCCTCTTTGCACCTCTGGTAAAACACTGAGAGAGTTTTCTTGGACCACAGCATAATGCCTTTTGGGTGCATCAAGACCCTCTGCAGGACTTCATTCTCTGATCCCTTCTTTTCATTGACCATTATCTGGAGACTCAAAAGTTCATTAGAATGAGGTCTTTTCAGTTTTCTTTGGCTCCATGAAATTGTTTTCAGCACCTCCTTTGTTGGCACCTCATCCCTGCACCCAGACTGCATCACCATATCAGGGAGTTTTTGAATGGAATCCAAGTACTTCTGGGTAGTTTTGTTTCCAGATCTTCTCCAATCGATGTGTGTGCATCTGCATGCACTGGCCTCCTTTTTAGCTCATTGGTACTGTGGCACACCTCGCCTCCTGTGAACACCACGGCTGCCTTCAGGGTGACCTCATCTTTGACTTCCACAGTAACATTAATTGGGCAATTTTCAAACCGACAGTAGCCATTGCATTTGAATAGTGGTGTGGATTTTAGAGACTGCAGGGTTTTTACAGAGTGGCGTTTAAAACCAAAACTGCAATATGGGTGAATGGACCGAATTCCTCTGGCAATCACGTTTGTCCACTGCAGTCCTTGAAAGCATCTCCCTTTTTGATGCTTCCTCAGGTCTTGCCATTCTTTTTTGTCAATAAAAAAGAAACATGGCTCTTGTGGCAAACTACACCTGAAGAATGCATCATCTGGCTCACTGTTCTCTGTCGAAGTTGATTCACCCAAGTCTGATTCCTTGTCACTATCCTGTAACACAAAAATAATTAATTGTTTTTGATTGAAATAAGATTTGCATTTACTATTTTTGCTTTTAAGATTTGCTTTTACTATTAAACAGATGAATTGTATTATTTTGATAAAAATAACATTTTTTTTTTTACTGTTGAACCTGTAAGATAGATAACTATGTTATACTGTATGTGTTATAATTTCACATTTCTCAAAGAGAGCACACATTTTTGAGCCAAACGTTTAATAAAGGTTGCAATACCTTAAAAAACAAAAAATTGATCCCGGATGTTATTTCCCCTTTAATTATTTTTGTAAATTGCCATGTAATCTCTCTATACTTGCATTTTCACTATTTGTTTGAAAGTGATATGATATTGAAAAGGTTTAAGGATTCTTTTAATATTCTGTCAGTATTGCTTTCCTTAAATGTATAACTTAAACAGAAACCGAGCCGTTTTGTTAAAATATTAATACAGTTTTACTACCTTTTGACCTGAAGATTCCAACGCTTTTTGTGTGGACTGAGGACTGTTAGCCTTTAAAGATGATGTCAAATTCTGCCAGGAGCCCTGAAAAAAGACATTATCAGCAACACAAAGAAAACATTTAATAAGAATTCAACATAGAATACATTTTAAATTTTACTTCATAACCTTTTGATCAAGAAAGGCTGATTTGCATTCCAGCAGTGGAGTCTCCGGCTTTACTGAATGACTTGTGATTGCAGTGTCACTGTCAGACAACACGTCCTGGAGGTGAGCATGTACAGACATTTTTAATAAATACAAATATAACCTACAAAGTGATTGTTATTTAAATAAAAAAGTAAGAAGTTTACCTTTTCAAAGGAAGATGAACATTCATTTTCTTGCTCCAAAAATGGAGACCAATTACTAGCTCCCACATCACTTTCATCCTAATGTCCAAAGGTGGAATTAAAAGTCTCAAAACTAAACTGCTTCTATATAACTTAACACATCCGAGGTTGCACTCCAATTTTAGATAATAATCAAATTTTATTAATTTAAATTATTTTAACAATAATAATTATAGAAAACATGGCCTACTCTATTATTACTGTAAATAGAAAATAAATATTACATAAATATAGCATAAATATGCAGTTATTGTCTTTCATATATTTTTTTAATGAGAAGACTGGATCTGAAATCTGCAAGTGAACATGTGGGTCTCCTGTTACATAATGAACACTACCTGGATAATTGTATAGTGCAACCTTTGACAATCATCATAGATGATATTGCACAGTGACCATAGCAAAACCTTCTGAATGAACTGACAGATAAATTACCAAGGAGGAATTGTGCTGTCCACAAGGTATCTGCTCAACATCATCATCATATCTCACTTTTGTGCTGCTCTTGATCACTGAAGTTTCCTGATAAAAACAAAGATAAAATAACTTCATGGTAAATCACAACAATAGCATGACTAAACTATTGTTATTTTACATTTTATATGCATAAAATATGTTAAATACATTAAATAGTTTAGAAATTATTTGACTCTTGACTTTGTCATTAATACTGAAGCAAGAACAGAGCTGTTTTGTAAAAATAAATACAGTTTTACTACCTTTTCAATTGAGGATTCATACTGTGTTTCAGCAGGAGGACTGTCAACATTTAAAGCTGTTTCCCAGGAACCCTGAAATTAGACATTATCAACAACAACAAAAAAACCCATATTAAAAATTAATGGAATTTAAATGGATTTTTTTTTCAGAAGAGAAAATACCTTCCAAAGATGTGCAATGGCTTTGCGAATTTTAAGCCGGTTCACTGATGTATTCGGCACTTCAAGGTCTTTGCAGACATCTCCCCATAAATCCGCTTCATTGTAGACACTGTAGTCCCTTATATTAGCCCCAGGTTTAGCAAATTTTGTAAGGCTTTGCCATATTTGGTCCAGGCTTTTGGAAATTCTCTTTGACTTTAAAGGTGCAATGTGTAACAAAGTTGAGTATTTATTAACAGAAATGCAATATGACATCCATAACTATGTTTTCAGTGGTGTATAAAGAACTTACTTATTTAACCGTAATGTTTTTATTACCTTAGAATGAGACATTAATAGCTCCATAACCGCGGGAATCCCCTTCTATGAAGGTCGCCATGTTGTGACGTCATATTCCTACCGTAGCCGAACGTGAACAAACAGCGCTACAGAACGCGTTTCATCACTACCTTGAAAGAGAAGTAGCGGAAAGCTGGAAGCTAGCCTTACACTCCGTGAGTAGTGACTTTTCCCTTGTGAGTGGTGTAAAATATGTAGTTGGGATTGTTTCATGTAACTTAGTTCTCCCTCGCTGTGTTATGGGTTTGTTATGTTGGGGATAGATGTGCTGTTACGTTCGTGAGATAGCTGATGATTAGTATTTATGTCATTGACCGTAAAACAGTACGTTACAGGAATCACTAACCCGTCGATAGAGACTTTTAGATCACTAAAGTCGATCACGAAGAGTTTTCAAAATCAGAGAAAAAAGCCTATTGTGTGTAGTAAATAGTGTCTATGGGATGCGGAGATGACATGATTGTAACAGCGCGCGCACTTCCGACCTTTGGACTCGTGCGATGCGGACGCGTCCCAGCTCAGCCACAGTAACAGCTCATATTAGCCAGCTAAACTATTACTACCCTGTTAGAAAAAATATATAGCTGCTCCCTCGCTGTATTATGGGTTTGCTACAGTATGTGTGGATAAATGTGCTGCTGGTTACGTTTGTGAGACAATCAGCTGATTAATATTATTTTATTAAATTATATATTAAAACCCTTGATCCTCACCTGACTACTATGGCTTTGTAAACAGTATCCATGATGTGGTTTATAATGGACTGTGGTACAGAAACAGTGACAATGTTACACACTCTTGGCTTACTCTGGCTATTCTCTGCTGTCTCAGCCGACGAGATGTTTGTCCCGTTTTAGCAACCGTAGCTTCTTCGAAAGGGAGGGGTGAGCAGTGGGCGGAGCCATTAGTGCAAACCTGGTGCAAACTCGCAACCGAACCACTAGATGTCGCTAAAAGTCACACATTGCTCCTTTAAATGAGATAAAAATCGAACAAAGGTTTAAGGCACCCCACATATGTTATATGTTATTGTATATCACTTAAAAAATTGTCAGTTAAGTTTAATACATGCCTTTCCAAAGGTGGTGAAGGTGCAGGTTCTGAATCAAACACACACACACACACACACACACACACACACACACTCTCACTGGCATTTTCCCATTTGGCTTTTCCCGACCGCAGACGAGGGTTTGCAAAGCATTTTTCCCGGTGTTTTTCTGTCAATTTCTTGTATTTTCCCCCCTTATGAACAACAACTTTGGCCACACGATAAAAACTCCTTGTGGTTTGATCGATCTGAGCAACCGTAAACGACGCCAAACATAGGCATTTTGAGTGTGTTATAGTGCTTCCTAACTCTAGCGTGACACTAATCGGCGGTGATTGGTCAGATGACAGACCCATAAACATATTGATAAAGCACTACAGTACTACAAGACGCTCTATTCTTTGACAACTCCAATAACAGCGACAAACATTTCACATATTTAAAAAAAATTGACATTGGAGACCTAGAAGCTGCGCTGAGCGTAACTTACACACGCGCGCACACACAAATACTGCCTCCCGCCCTGACGCAACAAAACCGTTCAAAACCCATAAAAGCAAAAATTATTAATAATACTTACAGGTTGTGATTCGGAGGAGGAAGCTGATCCATATACACTGGGTAAGTAAGTTACTGAGCCCTCCTTCAGGAACAACCGCTTATGAATGCACATTTGAATTCATTTATGTTTTTGAACTAACATTATTTGTCAATAAAATGATGAGAACACAATCGGGCTATAGTGTTGATATGAACTCTAACCACCGATTCTTCACATGCTCGTCCCTGGTAAATGAAAACAAAGTGGCTGAACTATCTCTGCATAGTAGAACACAGCGTCTTCTCGACATGATGCTATGATGAAGTGTTTGAGTGTGTAGACTTCGAGTTTACACTTCCGTCTGCGCGCGCAGTAACTGGGCGTGGCCAGTATGTATCTACGTCACGATGTAACAGCTAATGACTCGTTTCAAAAACAATTCATTTAATAGACTCACTTTTAAAAGACCATAACTTTATATACGGTGCACTTTCAGATTTTCATTCCCTTAGAGCTATATTCCACACCATATGAACAGTCATTTTCAAAAATCCATGATAGGGGCTCTTTAGAGTCATTGAAATGCTCACAAAGGAATCAATTCGTTTTATAACGACTATCTGATTCCTGACCTCAAGATTTTCGATTCCCAACCCTACAGTTGAGTGAGGCATGCGTTAATGATTGTGGTATCCTTACAGGAGTGTTAACCTTCTCTCTGTCTCTGTAGCGGCCATGAACTTCTCCACCTCCAGCAGTGAGAGCAGCTGCGGTACACCAATGACATACACCAATGACAAGCCTCCGTTCACCAGCCACTTCCGCAAACCCAGAGTTCAGTTTTTAGAGCTGGACAGTGAGTCCGGCGGCTCGTACAGGTACAGGAGGTGTCCTTCCTGCTTCATTGCATCATGTTTGGCGATTTGTTTAGCTTTAAATCACGTCATGCTCCTTCTCAAAGGGACTTAACTGGCATTCTTGATCTCCAGCTCTCTGGTACTAGATAAAGGGAAAACGCCACAATTCTTTAAGAGATTCTGCTATCGATACATGTCCCCTTTTAAACCAACGCGAGAACGCGCTGTTATCTCAGATAACTCAATCCAGCGATACTAATCATAAACAACAGGTGTGTTCAAAGAACCCAATGGGCTTTATGCACAGCTGCACTACTTCCTGAGCTTTAGCCAGCTCCTTGTTTCCTGTCTGCCATTATTGGACACATTGATTAATTCAGGTGTGCTTGACCTCAGTAGTCACTGCAACAATAATCAGACACACCTGAATTAATCAATGTGTCCAATAATGGCAGACAGGAAACAAGGAGATGGCTGAAGTTCAGGAAGTAGTGCAGCTGTGCATAAAGCCCATTAGACGGATCATGATTAGCACGATGATATTATCTTGATTATGGCTTATTGATTATGAAAAAAGCAAATATGTTGTTCACATATTATTGTAGCCCTAGTTGTGCTGTATTGTGTACCTACACCGTAGCCAATAATATGTTATATTGTTACATTATGATGTAGTGTATTCATATGTTAGATTAACTGAAATAAATGAACTTTTGCACGATATTGCTTATATACATCCATCTTTAATCTATTTCTTTTGTGAATCGTTCTTTCAGATGCTTGTTTAATTTTCAGATGCTTGTATATATTATATCATTTGTTTTTGTTTTCCATTTCTTTTGAAAGGATGAAAATACATTGCCTCCATTGCTACGAGCCGCAGGAGGACATCACCTTGCATCTGGCCACTGTCTGCCTCCGAGACAGCACAGAGGCTGAACGGGCAGCTGAGGTCCAGAGAGCAGAGGCTTCTGCTCTAGAGTGGATGGACACTGCAAGAGTTTGGGACTTCAAAGAGATCTGCACGCTGTTGCCTGACAGCGGGAGTCAGATGGTCCTTGTGAAGGAGTTAATTCGTCGGGGATTTTTGGTCAGGAACCAGCCAGCTCCTTCTCTGTTGCCCACATCTGCCTCAGATGACGCCATCCCATCTCATGGCAAAAAGTAAGTGCATTATAGTTTGCTGGCATGGTTTTCAGTGTGACTTTGTCCTCTCAGAATAATACAGTTTTAATAACAATGTTATTATTCACATAATCTTAATGGTGGTGTCTAAAGGTATCTTGTCTGTTTTGTCCCGTTTAATCCAAACAGACGGTCTATCGGGTCTGCGTCTGATGTTCATAAACATCAGGCAGTCTTGTTTAGGGCCATGGCAGATGTGGAGCGGATTAAAGGGGACCTCCAGGTGGGCCGCAAGATCTCAAGTGCAGACATGACCTTCTACAGGTATTACTGTGAATATTGGGGATTGCCCCACTGAAAACTGGTGAACTATGCTATTGACCGCTGCAGAACTCTGGTCAAAGAGTCGGAGTCATCAGAGAGCGTTTAAGTGTTTAATGCACAAGAGTGACCATAGTGGTACATGGTAGTTTCTGAAATAAATAACATAACAGAAATGAATATTCACTCACTGAATTATTCAACAACTTAAGATATTACAAACTCAAATATAAACATCTCTGTAAAGTGCACAGATACATGAAATATATTATAAATCAAGAAATATAGGCCTATTAATATGAATCTACAATAAACTGCATAATGCAATTGAATTGACAAACACCGAATGTTATAGAAATCGACGGTCTTCATTATCACTGGCAGTACTAAATGACAATAAGTGAAAAATATTATCCACAGAGAAAATCACCTCAAAGTATTAACTTGTAAATATGAACAAACCGAGCCGCGATGCTAGCGGGATAATCTGCTCGTTAAGCAGGATCAAATTACCGTTAGAAAGATCGCTAAACATAATAAACATTATCTAACTCAGCACAGATCGTCACATTGTATTTCAACTGCACTATTAACAATATACATAGAAGGAAACTTACTTTGTCATAAACTTTCTCTTGCACATGAACGCTGTACATGAACGCGTGCACAATATGATGCTCAACTGGTCTAGCTTAGTGAATAGGCAATTACACTTAGTTCGTACGTGCTGAGAACGCTGCACTACGTTATCTGCGTACAACGCAACTTAAAACGTCACCCACGTAACCAGCTCAATTTCTAAAGGGAGAGAATTCTCAACAGTGAAGCTGTCCTTGTCTTCAAGCACTTGCAGCTACCCGGAGCTATGGAAGACTTCACTGTAAGTTCATCAAATGTAATGAGTTTATACTTGTGACATCTAACATTTTCTTACATATGCATTAGTAAATACACTCACTCACTCACACTCACTCACTCACTCACTCACTCACTCGTTTATAATGACAGCTTTTCAATGTTTTCAAGGATGCAGAGTGGGTCGGCCGTGTCACCAACGGCAGTAGGGTGGTACTGCGGACAACAAGAAAAGCCTCAGTTGGTTGCCCTGAGCCAGGCTGAGGAAGATGTAAGTTTCATTGCGACACAGAGTAATTTGATCACCATCAATTTTTTGAATTTAATAAGTGTTTGGACTTTTTTTCTTCATAGATGTTGCAGCAGTACTACCTGAATATCAGGCCACACATTTTCAGGGAGGAGAAAGGCTGCAACCGTTTTTTTCTCACCAGTTCTGGGGTAAACTCCACTCGATGTACGTACCTACACAGATACATGTTCACATGTCTGAATGTATGCCAGTCACAGTAATTTCACGATTAACATTTACTTAAAATTTTTATTTCAACAGTTACAAAATGGCCAGCTCAAAAAGCCAGGATGTGAGGAGGGCGGTTATGGCGGACGCCAGACTGTTGTCAGCTCAACAACAGGAGGCCATCAAATCATATTTGGGCCATAGCGCCGGTGCGGTCCTTGATGAGGAATTGGTGGAGGCAGCCGACCTCTTATCATCTATGGCTGGGTATGTATCTTCATTTATCAAGGACAAAACACAAACTATTTGTACATTATATTACTCTAAATATTGTATTCCCCACTTATGCAGGACTTGTTCGGATGACGGGATGGCAGCAGTTGCTGAAACCAGCACACACCGTTCATTCAGCAAGTTTTTGGAGGCCTTCCCTGTCTCGCCGCACGGCCAGCCTCCATCTAAGAGGCAGCGAAGCTGGCTTTCCTGAAGCCGGGTCATTTTATGACAAGTGGCGGGCTTCACAGTATACAAAGAGGGCTGACTATCTTGTCGGTAAGTCTCCAAATCTATCAATACAGCATTGGTACCCATAAATTCAACATTTATTCACTGTGATAAATGACTTGCATGAGTAAAGTCTTGTCATTCTGTCTTTCAGGTTACTTCAGTCTGCGGAGGCCTTCGGCAGCAAAAGTGGGGCGGATTATTGCTCAGGAGGGGTGGACGACCAACTGCCCCAAACCAGAGGAGGTTGTACAAATAGGTGGACTTTGCCCCCCCCTGGAGGCTGGCCTGAGGTGTGCGGTTCTGTGCTGAAGTGTGCCCTGGAGACGGAGGATGGCCGGGTGTCGGAGGGCTCCTCGTGGGTGGAGGGCTGCATCCCAGGAGACTCAGGAGTGGGCTCGTCAGAGGCCCCACTCTCACCCTCTTGCCCAAGAGAAGAAATGAGTTTTTTGGTCACCTCCTTGAGTCTGGTTGAACCCACTGATGCCGACCTCCTTTTCAGCACCCTGTACCGCAGAGTAACATTTCTGAGGGCAGTAGACAGTGTATCCACCTGATTATTCAGATCAGAGATCTGTGCCCTCATCCTAGCTACCCGGCGGTTACAGGCAGCATTTTGGCACTCCTCGTCCTTCTCTTCCTCCTCACAGGGGTCACATCCTCCGTTCAGTCTTCTTCTGGGAGCAGGTCGAGGGTAGAGACTATTGGCACCTCCGGGTTTGATGCCCTCAGTGCACAAAGGAGATCCAGCACTTTCTTCCTCTTGCAGCTCATCATCGCCTCACTCTTTGCTGCCTCGGATATTTCTACGTGGGACTTGATGTGCTGGTCTAGACGAGTCCTTACCGCAGCCTGGCACTGGACAGCGTCCTTGACAGGCGTTTACACTTCCGGACTCCAGTGAGACGAACAGCTTCCTTTCTTCTTAGTTTTTTACATTGTGAAAGAATTTCAGGTGCTGGCCTAGTCGCTCGTACATGCGACTGTACAGTGGGCACGATTCAACAGGCATGGTGATCTAGAAGATTGAGAGAGATGTCATGTGAAAACAGATGTTGTATTGTGTTATTTTGCAGGCACCCTTCCTGAAAAGGATATATATGCAGGGGGAAATTGGAAAAATAAAATAAAATATAAATATATATATATATATATATATATATATATATATATAAAACCTTATTTATGCCTTTCAAACTTTTTATTTTATTTTAAGGTGAGCCCAAGAAATGGTCACAAATTCAACAAACAAATTTATGACAAATTCAAAAACAAAATATAATAGTGTCAAAATCTTTAGAATTATTCACTATTAATTACAACCATAATAATGATATAGTTATATACAGCAGGGCTAAGTGGAAAAAAAATAATGCATTTTTTATTTGTCGGAAATATAAATAAAAAAAAAACAAAAAACAAGAAGGCCAAAATAATATATAAAATATTTGTTATAAATTTTCATGTAAGAAAAAAAAATATTAACCTATTAATTATAAACCTATAAATATATTAATTAATTAGTCCTCATTTATTTGTAATTTTTTAATACCCTTACATTAGACGAATTTGTCACAAAAAACACTATTATTTGCTTTTGAAGAAAACAAATGAAAATAATCTTATAAGATCGCAAGAATGAAAACGAGAATAACACATTTGGTCATATAAATCTGTTCATGTTCCACAGACCTCCTATGATTCAGACATTATTTTACAAATATAACGAACAGTAATGATAAATGTTTATCGAATGCACAAATGCATTTTTTTTTTCTTCATTACGGTGTCTGCGGCTTCACATTGCATTTTCATAAACAGGTTACAAACTAGTTTGTTTTAGCTCTATTTTACATGTAAAATAAATCGGGGCAAAATCTAATTTTATAAACTATGAAGGCAAATACAGGATATTTAAGTGTAGGTAATGCATTAGCTATGACTAGATGGACATCAGAAAATAATACTTATTTAAACAAAAAGATATTTGCTTACCCTTGAAAAACGATAGATTTCCACAAAAGATTTTAAGATGTTGGATGTAAGATATCCTTAAGGTATTGTCGTCTGCTGTGTGGCTCTTGCGAACTTCACTTTCATTCTGTCACGATTGAGGGGGCTTCAATCAGTATAGAGGGCTTCAGTCCGTCACGATTGAGGGGGCGGAATTATCAGGTTTACGGACAGTTTGAGCATCCAACAAGATTTCCACAAGCTCTTTTTAAAAACTTTCATTGGCTAAATAATTGTAAAACAGATAGATTGACTTAAAGGGTGACCAATGGCATTAATTTATTGAAAAAGAAAAAAAAAAACACCAGAGCTCTGCCCAAGTCCAGCCTAACTGTGCATGTGCTGATGCATGCAGGTGTAAGTGTCAAATTGCAGTGGTTTTCCAAGCATTGCATAGTGAATTACTTCAAAATTACATCCATGTCGATAGTACATTTTGAAGGAAGACACATTCAGTGATTGGAATTATAGTGAATTACTTCAAAATTACATCCAGGTCTATAGTATATATTTTTTTGCTTTGGTTTTTTTGTTTGTTATCTGTATGTTCAGCACTTTGGTAAACACCTGTTGTTGTAAAAAGGTGCTCTATAAATAAACTCAGCTAATAAAAACCAAAATAAACAGCTCCCTACAGAAGCTGATTATTTGGATCTATGTTTATCCCACATCATAAACCCATATTGATAGGAAACTTGTGAAAAAATTCACACTCCCAAAGCAGAGAATCACTGTAACTGTACCCTTTTTTTCCTTTCCATGCCAAGCAAAAAATGCAGCATTTTAAATATTTTCATTTTGAATAAATGCAGGATTGTTTTATTTGAGTTCATTTGGTCAAAAACACATGACAGGTAACATTACACACTGATCAAGTAAATACAGGCGTATCGATTATAAGTGTCTTCTTAAAAAAAAATAGTATATGCAGCATTTGTGTTTAATGATAGAAATAATAGACTGTATATATGTTTCAGCTTAAAAATGAGTGACAGCGGCTGGACGTCGGATTATGGTTATACATCAGTAAGTGTCTGTTATGGACAGAGATTATTGTGTGATGTGCATTTGGACAGATGTTTTATTGTTTTATTTTGCAGGACAGTGAGCATACCTCTTCAGCAGAGGAGAACAGAGGAGCAGGCAATATTCGTCGTCCTCGTCCTCTTCCTCCTCCTCCACCTCCACCCGACAGCCCAAATATGCCCCGCCATCTGCCACGCCGTCCACCCCCGACCCCTCCACAACCACAACAGGAGGATGGAGACGCCCCACTCCCTCCACAACAGGAGGATGGAGACGAGGTAATGGACATGCAGGTATTCAATGTAAGCTGTCAAACTCTGTTGCAATTGTGTGAACTTCTCATTTGATTTTTATTTCTCTACAGTATTTAGCCGACAATGAAGAGGAGGAGGACTTATAATTTATTTTAAATAAATATTTGTAAATAGCATTATGGTCTACTCTTCTCATTTTTTGAAATATACTGTATTTCCAAATCTGTCGAGGTTTTGCAGAGATATTTGTGTGTCTTGTAACATTGAGGGTGCAGCCATGTTTGTTTTGATGCAAAGCCCTCTGGGATATGACGTCTTACCTTGTATTGTGATCACATCAAACAATTGTTCAAAGGAAATTGTATTTTATTAAAATTACGTTACTATAAAGTAAAGTAAATACAACTATATACACAATAAAAACAGAAATGACAAAGAAATATATAAATGAATATTATATCTCATTTATTATAAATGAAATATAATGGATTGGGATGAAATATAATTTATAATGGATATAATAAATGTATATTACGATCAGCTAGGGGTGCGATTACGGACTTGGGTTCGACTTGGACTTAAAGTATGGTTGACCCCATCAAGAACTTCTTTGACGCTTGATCATGTCACCCTCTGTTTTCGCAGAAGCTCAGAGGAGGACGTGAGAGCGACTGTACTCCTGGCCTTCTGCTGTCCTCCACCCGAGATTGAGCTGCTGACTGAGGCCTCGCTAGTTGTGGGGCTTGATGATTCCTCCTTCCCTTCAACAGTGCTTAATAATTGACCGCTCTCTGGGTGCCTCTCCACACCCGAAGTTTGGAGCTCCAACTGGACGTGGTTTCCGAGATACATACCCGGTCAAAGTCCCATCTTTGACGGGCGTTACTCGGGAACCAAGCCGACTTTGGCTCCATACTCTGGATCATGGGGGGCCTATGGGGACCTTCCCTTGCCCGGAGTTTGGAGCTCCAAGTCGGCGTGGTTTCTGAGAAAGCTGGACCGGAAGTGGCCGTATCTCGGGAACGGGAAGGGTCCCAGGAGCTGGCGACGGTGGGGATAGAAGGGCCCCACGGCCCTCATAATGCCCGGAGTTTGGAGCTCCAACTCGGCTCAACTCCCGAGACACACCCACTTATACACGAGGGACTTTTGAACAAAACGGACTATATCTCGGAAATGACGAGTCCCAGCGGATCGTCCTTCGGAGGGATGAGGGCCCTCTAGGGGTCCTCTCAGACCTTAGAGTCCCGAGGCTCTGGGACCCTTGCTTCTGAAGTGCACCCTGAAGTTCCTGTCGGGCCCCGATTATCTCGGCCTGTGGGGGCGCTAGACGCACGGGCTGGG